ACTTTGAATCAAATAATCATAAGTTGATTTAGATTAATTTAATGGAAGGATAAAAAGTTGTTCTGTAATGGCGGGGTGGCGGGGGAGTTATTTCAAGAGGGGCAAATGTTGATAAATTACGGAAATAAGTACTGTGTCCAACTGGACTGAATACTAGGAAATCTACATGTGGAAGAGGCTGGAATTCTTTTAAGTAAAAGGTGCAAAAGGTATTGAGTTTAGGTATTGTTATTCCCAAGCAAAGGGAAAAATTCTGTAGGGAAGGGGTCCAGATTTAATTGGATGAATAATGACCCCAAGAGTATATTAGGAATAATAGAGTAAAAAAGACTAATGAACAAAGAAAGCTGTGTCTTAGAGGTCAAGAATTGTAGGAGTTCCCAAAAGTCAAATTTAAGTTAATACTTGCAAAGGATACTAAAACAAAGAGCAAAACATCTCTCTCAACCATGCAGTTGATCCAGTAAGAGATATCACCCCCACCCCAAAATATTTTGCCTCTTACATATTTCCTAGACCATCATGGCTACATCACTCCAATACTACCACAAAAGGTTCGTCAGCCATCTAAATAGAACATAAGAAAAGAAAATGGGGGATCTATGCAATGAAAATGAAGGCAAGATTAAAAATAATTTAGGTGTGGTCAATGTCTAATTGAATGTTTTGCCTCAGTTTTCAATAAGGGCAATGATGTAGAACATAGGATTAAAGGCAGAAAGCTAATTGAATGAATGGGAATGGGAATGGAAATTACATCTAAGATAGAAGCTGAACTAAAAGATTATTGGTGTCAAATTGAAGAGGATCTGAATAATCTACATTTTGAAAAAGCTGGCACATGAAGTTACAGGTCCTGTATCAAGCATTTTCAACAAATTTATCAGATTAAAGATGGTATCTGGCTGAAGAAGAGAGTACCTATGTTTTAAAAGAGGGGAAGAGGTGATCCAGCTAATTCCAGGTTTGTTAGTCATATATCAAGTGTATATAAGTTTTTAAAATGAATTTTGAAGGAAAGAATAAACAAAGACCTGGAGAAAAATTTAATAAAATATAATATGGGTTTACCAAACACATGCCAGTCTAGCCTTTGATAATATTCTTGCTGATTTTCCAGAAAAAGAATATGCGGTAGGTCTCAAGTATCTGCACTTCAGTAAAGCACTTGATTTGGTGCCACAAAGGCAATTATTAGTCAAGATGGGGATTGGTGGAGGAGGTATAAAGTAGGAAAGAACTGGCTAAAAGGAAATCATTACAGGTAATGTTGAAAGTGTCAGATTGGAGGAAAGTTATTAGTGAAGTTCCTCAAGGTTTGATTATATTTAACCTTTTAAAATAGTTTAATTAATCATGTCATCACAGGTGTATAAATATGTTGATGAAAACTGTTGATGAGGCAAAATTAGGTTGTTTTGTCAAAACAAAGGAGGATCTGGATAATATACAGAAAAAAAGAGATGACCCTGGGGACTTGGAGTGAAAGAAATAGGATGAAATTTAACAATGCAAAGCTATTCATTAGGGACTAAAACAGGAATTTCTGTTATGAGCTAGGAGCTTGTCATTTAGTAACAGCTGAAGTTGAGAAGGACCTGGGCATATTTGCTGATCACAAGAAGACTGACAGTCACCATCATAATGCTGCTTTTTGGCAAATGTAATCCAATAGTGGCCAAGGAGGGGTATTTCCAGTACAGACAGAGAAATAGTATGCCTTTAAACAAGGTCCGCATAACTCCTTATCTGGTATACTGTGTACATGTCTGGTTACTTGAATTGAGGAAATATGAACTCCAACCAAACACATGTACAGAAGGGCTACTAGGATAATCGGGGGAATGGAGATTATATCTTATAAAGGAGCATGATTTATTCAGCCTAGTAAAATGAAGGCTGAGGTATTTGTTCTCGATCAATAAATCGGGGAAGAAAAAGAGATATTTGAGCTAAAAGACAAGTCAAGGCAAAAATGGGTGTAAAGTGGCCATGAATATATTTGGCATGGAAATGAGAAGAAAGTTTCTAGCCATCAGAGCAACGATGTTTTAGAAGAGCCTCCCAAGAGAAGTAGTGGGGTTAAAAACACTGAACTGCTTTTAAAATGGAGCTTGACCTATATATTATATGACTCTTATGTGGACTCAGTGACCCATTTCTCCATGGGTCAGGATTCACTTTCTGGTCGATCTAAGGGCCTTGTCACACATTACATTGAGAATGTGTTAACTGCACTTAAAACACTAACATCCAGGTGTTTAAGCAGTAAAACGTGCTCAGTGCCATCATAGCATAGCAAAGTTACTACTTTTCTGGCAGGGAGTATCTCCACATTGTATTACCTAATCTGTGTCAAACTAACATCTGACTGCTCCACGGAAGAAACACAAATGGGAGACTCCAGTTCAGTGGTAGGGTTGGGATTAGCAAACAGCTCTTTGTCACTCCCAGCCCCCACACCGCACGGCAGCACACTGAATCTTCAAAGGCTTTGGCACCTAGGACGTGTTTTATTCACATTGTAGTAAATATTACCGTGAGACTGCTCAGTAAATATCTTTGTTTCCAGCAGCAAATAAGACACCTTAACAACAAAGCCCCCATATAACTATGGAACCATTAGGATCTTATCTGACAAATATAATATGGGCCTCCAAGCTGCACAGATGAATTCTAAGTCAGAAAGAGCATATTAAATTAAGACAAATTCATGTAGCTTCCAAATTATTGTTGATTAACAGTATAATACCTCTGTTACCACATCATTCCTTTAATATAGTGGGTGGTTGTGGAGATATACTTCCCTTAACGTTTAGTGTATTTACATACAGTCTGCATATGGTACATATCTTGCATTGCACTATAATAGCATGCCATTTTTAGGGCACAGGGTTAGGTCTCAGAGCTGTGGAGGGCAGTTAGGGCATTAGCCCATCATTAAAGAGACCTGGTTTCAATTCCCTGTTCTACCATACACTCGTGTTGCAAGTTTGAATGAGTCAGTCAGCTTTTCTATGCCTCAGTTCCAAATCTGTAAAATGGAGATAGCAGTACTGTCCTGCCTTTAGAAGAGAACTGAAAGAACAAGTACATTATGGACTGTGAAGTGCTTAGTAATTATATCTGCTCAGATGCCCAGCTAAGGTGGTTTTGGTATAAAAATATAAGCATCTCATCAGCTTATTTGTCATAGATTTTCTTGACTTTGCACATCTGTTGCTATTCAGCATAAAAATATTTTGTCATTTAATCTCCATTGATAGAACAAGATTATAGAAACCAGCTGTGGGTAAAATCTTAGCGCCAATGAAATTATTAGAGGTTTTGTCATAGGCTTCAGTATCATGACTCATCTGTGCTCAAGAATTTCAGTGTCAGTTTACTGAAGAAAACATTGTGGGCTCCCTCACAACTATTTTGAAAAATAGAGATAACATTGGCTTTTCACCCTGAGGATTACATGCTGATCTTGCCCCACACTCTTGTCTCTACAGGGTTAACAGCAGCACCATTTGTGCAGGCACTGTGGTCTGCCATGTGGTATATTAGGAGCTTTATAAAGGAGGTATGATGCATATCTGCAGAGTATAATGGAAAGTAAACGTAGACAGCACTGTACTGATCTCTTGGGGTCTAATCACCTCATTGTGGTAAGGCCTACCTAAAGAAACAATCTCTGTCATTCCATCTCCAGGTCCTAAATGAGTTCCCACAGAGTCCTCCAGAAAGCTAACTTGTGATAGATGAACGTTATTTCGTTGAACCTGCAGCCAGCCCTTCTATCACCCTGTGGTGGTAGCACATACTCTGCCAGGAAACTTAAGTTTGCTATTTGCCACTCTTTTTTCTCTATAGAGTCTGACCATGAATCTTAATAATTTATGAAGGGCAGGGGGGAGAGGGGGTCGGGAGAATACTCAGTGCTTCTTCCTCAAACCAGCAGTGATGTTAGTACTGCAACAGGGATTAAGCTTAAACAAAAATCAGCCTTCAGCTCTTTTCTAAAATAGAAAAGGCATTTCAAAGATACGATGGATTTATTTAAGGAAGCACCCTCCTTTCTCACCCTTCATCAGCCTTCCTCACAATCTGTGTTGCCGTAAATTTCTCTTCCCACCTTCTCAAAATGTTGACCCTTTCCCAGGATAGCATGTCTGACATCTACTCCTTCCTGGGTTTCTGAGAGAGGTATGCTTGAAAAATAAGTTCATTGAGAAAAACTGTGAGAGACTGTACTGGCAGAAGGTAAGCTTTTGTATCTTTTTATCTCACCTCCCTCTTCTCCAAAAAATGAACTGTGTTATTTATAATTTAGTTTGTGGTTATACCAAAACTTAACTAAGCATATTTCCAGCGTATCCCCCTCGTGAATAGTCTATGAGCAGGGACAAAGGACTACAACATGGCGTGTAGCTTATTAGTAACCAACAAGTTTAGTAATGAGTCAGTAACACCCTCCACCCCCATCTTCTTTCCTCAATCCCCACAACAATCTCCAGCGTCAGTTCTGGTGTCTCTGCGCTGTTTCTTCCAAATAAATGAGCATTTAAATCATAGAACAAATGCATGAAATCATGAAGTAGAAGTTTTAATTAGCTGCTTTTTGGTATGTGTCATGAAAGAAGTAAGAGAAGAGAGAGGGAGAGATTTGAGAAGAAATGCTTAATAGAAGTCACAGATCATTTATTTAATTTCTTGTAAAGTCTGACATTCAAAAGTTTCTTACTCCTATTAGATAGATTAGTACCAGTTCCATTTTTAATTTTTCTTCAGTTGTCTGCTGTGGGCTCTGATAGGCTTCTCTCAGCACTTTGTGTCCTTTTCTGTTTCACTGGAAAGCCCCTTTGATGATACTGGTAGGGCTATACATTTCTGTTGACTTCAAGCTTCAGAGGTGAAGTCACTCACGTCAGTACTTTGGGACGAGCTGCATCCTTTCTTTCATCAGATGTTAAAGGTGATAATCCTATTGCTGAAGAGAACAATTAATAATTCACTTACAACAAGTTGATTAGAAACCGCAGTGATTCTTTAAAGAATAAAATGAAAAGCAATTTTTTAACCAGTTGCTCAACTGCGACAAGCGTGAGAAAGGTATAAGGAGGAACATGGTACTGTGGAGGGAGAACTAGTTACCAAGAGATTAAAAGGGGCAAGATTTACTGTGTATCAGCTGCTTCATGGTAACTGTGCACCTTGTAGCAGATGAGTATTATACCATGGTAACTTAGCCCACAGAGACAGAGGACTAAGACACTGTAGTCTAGTTGTCATCTAATGTGGGGTTGATTATCATGGAGCTGCTGATGTGATTATCACAGAGCTGCTGATCCCTCCCTGTTCTGGGACTCTGTCTGTAACCAGTTTCCAGATCTCTACGACCTGGCAAAATGCTGCCTCACCATTCCAACAAACTCCTTGGATGCTGAGTATGTCATCTCTGTGTACAGACAAGTGTTCACCCCAGAGACCAAGAATGTCAGCAGCAAATGCTGGTGGATGCTGCATCCTAACAGCTAATGACTAGCAAAAATTGCCTGTCTCAAGGTTAGTATTGAGTAAACTCCTTTCTTCAGCTTCATTTAATAAAATATAGCTATTGGTACCAGTTACAATTCATGTTGTGTATAAGTTTATAAAGCATTTCAGTTTAGCGTTTAATTCGGTGCTTAGAGACTAGGGACACAAGTTAGACATAAACCAATGTAAGTGATCAAAAACTGGTTTAAAACTGTAACAGAACAAAAGTTCAGTGCACATAAACCAGTTTCAAAATGGGTGAAACAGCTTTAAGATAAACCTGGTTGAATGTAGTATCAGACTTAACTGATTTAGGTCAAGCCGGTTTATGAAACTTCTGTCCCTCTTCCCGGTTCAAGTTAAATCCGAGTCCCTCAGCATCCCAGCATGCTTTGCAGCCCTGGGCTGAGCTAAGCTGTCTGCTCCAGAGAGCAGGTCTGGCCCTGCCCTTCTGCTCCCTAGCTGGAGCAGTGAGGCCTGGCTGGCTGTGGACTACAAATTCCAGAGGCACCTGGAAGCAGGAAGAAAAAGTGATGAACAACCCTGTGGAGTCCTGCTGGTCTGGTCCTGAACTGCAAATCCCAGAGCCCTCAGGGGCAGCAAGAAGATTAAGCAAACACACCTCCTATGCTGTGTTTATAGTTTTCAGTTTATAGTTTTTCAGAGAAAGATCTATTCTTGTTTAAGCTTTTATGAATTCAGTCCTACTAAGTTTCCTCCCTCCTCGCCCTTCCTCCCCTTCCCCCCTCCCCCAGCCAGGCAGAGCATGGGCTGGAGCCTGGCCATGTCCCTCCACTCCAGCACAGTTTACTCTGTTCCCTACCCTTTGGCAGTGGCTGGCAGGTGTTTTCTAGTGCCCCTGCCTTCTGGCTTGAGCCACTCCAGGCATGTGGCTGCATTGCCTGAATTGAAAGTGAATGTGTGTTTTATTTGTTAATCGGTTCAATCTCTGCAGCTTAGACTAACCTGAAAAGACTGAATCAGTTCAGCCTTGGGCTTTTTGACTGTCTGTACTTAGCCAGATTACTTACTAATATTTTTATTAATGGCTTCAGTGGGCTTAATCAGGGTAATTAAGATATGGTTTCAGGTGACCTGCCAGTTTGTGGCAAGGGACAGGACTTCTCAGCTCAGAGGCTGGGTGGGGGAGAGGGGGCCTGCCACATGATAGGGCTCCTCAGCTAATTAGAGGCATGGTGGGGGCCCTGCTGCAATAAGCCTGTGAAAATGGTGACCAGCCCTGAGATCTGCCCATGAAATAGGCTGCCTGTCTCCTCAACTTGGGTAGGTCCCTAGACATACCTAGTAGGCCTGTGAAAATAGGGAAGTATTTGATTTTGGATTTGGCTGATTCAGAGGACAGTGATTTGATTCAGAGATTTGGATTGCTATCCTGAATTAATTTGGCTGAATCAGCTTCAGAAGGTTCAGTGCTGATTTGAAGAGATTTGGCCATAGGCTATAATGGGGAATCACTGAAATACCTATAACTTTTTTTTTTTTTGGCAGTTTAGGATAAAAAAAGAAGGGACAGTAGCCCTTTCTGAGGGCATGAAGCCTGTTAAGTTTCAAGGAGATAGGTGCAGGGGTTTCTGGGAAATTGCATCTCAAACTGTTCAAGGCAAAACTTGTGACGTGTGACTTCATGTGTGTGTTAAGGCACAGTGAGATAAAACCAGCAGGGATGGTAGCCTGTAACTGGGGGCTTTCCCAGTGCCAGTTAGATCTCCACCCACCCACCTGTTTCTGGGCCAGCTGCCCGCCTCTCTTTTTCTGCCACGCCTTGATGGAAAACTGATTCAGATGTTTCCCAGGCAGGAGGCTGCCCAGTTAGGTGACTTGGGGTGAAATCCATTCTGCAGCTCTGCCCCTCCCCTTACACTGGACCCCATGCCTCACAGATTGCATCCTTCACCCCCTCCAGCTGTGGTCCCCTCTGTGGGACCTTTGACTCCCCATTAGGCCCTGGTCCTGCCCTGCCTTCAGGCCAGTCAGAATCCCGAGCTGCTTGCTCTGGGCATCGCTTGTGGGGGGCCCCTGGTCCTGGTCCCAGCATGGACCAGTTGAGGGTACCTCTGATATCTTTTATTAGACCAACTGAATAGTTGGAGAAATATATCTTAGCAATCTTTTGGATTTAAAAACCCTTCCTCAGCCTAAGGAAGCATCTAGTTGATGTGTGTGCGATCTTCCTGGATGGAATGAATAGTGAAAAAGCCAGAGGCTGGCATGCAATGCAGGCAAGAAATCCAGTTAGTAAAAATGTAATTTGCGGTGTCAGGAGGTGAGGGAGAGGCTGGGAGGAAAGCGGGGGGGGAGGGAGAATGTAGCAGGTAAAAATGGAGAGGTACCTGGGGAGTCAGGCAGGTTATAGTGTGTCATAAATCCAATGTCTATATTGAGTCTATGAGGTTTTGTATCCAGGAGGTTGCTGAAGTGAAATTCATAGGCTTGTCTGTGAACAGTGGTTTGTAAATTGAAACAAGCACTGAACTTCGCTAACCTCATCACCAGAAGCAAACTTCCCACAGCCCAAAACACATTGAATGGATCCAGAACATGCTATGACAAGAAATGCAAAACCTTCCAACATACTAATCCAATCTATTACAGCCAAGAATACCCAACTAAATTTGGGGGTACATTTTTCACAAGAAAGTCACTCTATCTTCAATCTCTCAGGCCTTATCCCCAAAGGGAATCTGGAATCTTGCCCTCCTTGATGCTGAGGTGGAAGTAGCCCATCACCTTCCTGTATTTTGAAATCAGCTGGGTGATTTTGTTGGCACCATCACTGGCAGCCCTGCTCCCCTCCAAGGCATCCCTGACTGTGAGGTGGAACTTGTGTGCCACACAGAGGATGCCAACAAAGTTGGCATCACGCACTGCCTTAACCATATTGGCCCCATTGTCAGTTACCATGAACCCCTGGGTAAGCTCGCCCTGCCCAGTGAGCCACCTCTGTACTGTGTGGTCCATGGCCACCATGATCTCCCTTGCTGTGTGGGACTCATCCATCACCTCTGCTTGAAGGAGAGCCCACCAATGGCCTGACTGATGGCACCAGTGTCCTGTGAGGGAGAGGTAGGCATGTTATCATAGCTTCATAGAGGTTAGGGTTAGAAGGGACCTATTAGATCATCAAGTCTGACCCCCTGCCTTGTGCAGGAATGAGTGCTGGGGTCAGATGACTCCAGCCAGGTGTCTGTCCAATCTCCTTTTAAATACCTTCAAGGAAGGGGACAGCATCACCTCCCTTGGAAGCTTATTCCATATTTTGGCAACCCTCACTGTAAAGAATTTTTTCCTGATGTCCAATCTGAATTTGCTCTCTTTCAGTTTGTGGCCATTATTTCTACTTACCCTGACAGGCACCCTGGTAAACAATGTATTCCCTAGTTCTTGCTGCCTCCTCCCACCCCTGATGAGTTTGTAGGCAGCCACAAGATCACCTCTCAGCCTTCTCCTGTGGAGGCTGAAGAGGTCCAGGTCTCCCAGTCGGTCCACATAGGGGTTTTTCTGTAGACTTTTAACCAGATAAGTGGCCCTCCTCTGAGCCCTCTCAAGGCCATCCACATCCCTCCTGAAGTGTGGTGCCCAAAACTGGACATAGTACTCCAGCTGCAGCCTGACCAATGCTGCATAGAGGGGAAGTATCACCTCCCTAGACCTGTTTGTGATGCACCTACTTGTGCAAGAAAGAGTGCAGTTATAGTTTTACTTATTACCTCATCACACTGATGACTCATGTTCATTCTGGAGTCGACTACGACTCCTAGATCCCTTTCCGCAGTTGTGCTACTTAAAATGGTACCTCCCAGGCTATAGGAGTGTTGATGATTTTTCCTCCCCAGGTGCAACACGTGACACTTATCTTTGTTAAACTGCATCCTATTCTGTTCAGCCCATTTCCCCAGCCTGTCCAAGTCAGCCTGGACTTGCTCCCTGCTGTCTATTTTGAGTACCTCCCCCCATAGTTTGGTGTCATCAGAAAACTTTGACAAGGTACTTTCTACTCATCCAAGTCACTAATGAAGATATTGACTAGTACTGGTCCCAGGACACAGCCTTGGGCGACTCTGCTGCCTACATTTCTCCAGGTAGAAACCGACCTGTCCATCACCACTTTCTGGGTGCATTCCATAAGCCAATTTTCTACTCACCAGACTGTATAATAATCTACACTGCAACTGTTTAGTTTACTTATAAGAATTGCATGCAACACTGTGTCAAAGGCCTTTTTAAAATCTAAGTAAATAACATCTATCTCTCTTCCTTCATCCAAGCATTTTGTGACTCGGTCATAAAATTAAGCCAGGTTAGTCGGGCAGGATCTGCCTGCTATGAACCCATGCTTATTGCCCCTTATCATTTTACCTGCTGGTCCCCTACAAATGTGATCCTTAACAATTTTCTCAAAGGTCTTGCCCAGGATAGAGGTGAGACTAACCAGCCTATAGTTACCCAGTTCCTCCTTCCTCCCCTTCTTGAAAATAGGGACCACATTGGCCCTTTTCCAATCCTCTGGAACCTGTCCTGAGCACCACAAGTGCTCAAACAATTGTGCCAGCAGCTCCACTATGACTTCAGCTAATTCCCTAAGTACCCTAGGATGAAGATCATCAAGACCTGTTGACTTAAATACATTCAGTCCCTCCAGGTGCCCCGTTACTAGGTCAGCACGAACAGTTGGTGAGTTGGTATCTATACTGGGCTTACCTAAGGTCCCAATGGGATGCATATTTGTATTCATGTCCAGAAACATGGATGCAAAGAAATCATTTAGAAGCTTCGCTTTGGCCATCCTATCTGTTACCAGTTGCTCTAGTTCATCCTGAAGGGGCCCTAAGCTACCCTGCACCTTCTTTTTGCTTCCTATGTACTTAAAGAATGACTTTGTTATTCTTAACTTTTGCTGCCAGTCTAAGCTCCATTTCTACTTTGGCTTTCCTCACCGTTTTCCTGGAACCTCGAGCCAAGCAGGTATACTCCTCCTTGGTGGCAGGTCCCTGCTTCCACAGCCTGTAAGAGCTCTTTTTTTTTTCCCCCCCTCCAGGCTCTCCTGGATTTCCCTGCTCAACCAAGAGGGTTTCTTTGCTTTTTTGCCCCCCTTCATGTGTACTGGGATGGTTCTTTTCTGTGCCTGCAGGATTAGTCCCTGGAGAAATGCCCACACTTCCTGGACTCCCATCTCTCCAAGGCTTTTACCAGTCAGTCCCTCCCTAACTAATCTCCTGAGCTTGTTGAAGTTG